TAATCATTAATTTTCAACAATGGTGTCCTCCTTGGTTTTCTCCCCCAAATTCCAATCTGACACTGACCTTCCGTGAAGTTCACCTTTGATCTCTTAATAAGTTTTCTAGGCTCTTTTGTTACCAATCATATTATCCATCCTTCCAATTTGTCATCAATCTTCCTCCTGCAGCTACGGCCAGGGAGGATGGCTACAGTCCCATGGCTCCTACATTTTTGAATGATTTGTGCAACTGTAGTCAAAGGAATGTCAAGCTGCTTGGAGTCTTAAAACCTTTACCTTTAGCATGGTTGTCTATAATTTTCAGTTTTTTTGTCCTCCCCCCATTAAATGAGAAGCACTATTTTTGTGTACATCATCATCATGTTACTCTAGAACCTTAATATTCACTGAGATCCATGTTTGAGAACCAAAGAGCCAGTGGATAAAAAGAAAGTGTCATACCAAAAAAGCTTTGTGCAGGTTGGTGTGTGATTATATGTCTCTGCTTACCTCTTCCTTACAAGGTGTGTCTGGCAGGTAAAGCTCAGCTGCAACTCATGAGGACTAATTGAGAGGAGCTTTAAGACGAACAGATGAGGCTGATGTCCGATTTTTTGATGACCCAATAAGGAAATTAAGCCTATCCTCTCTGCCTGTCCTTGTCCTCTTGCTCTGGCTGTAATCAGAATTGTAACTGTTTTTCTACGTGAACGTATACCGACACAGTGAACCGCTGTTTTTAATGCTTTTTTTTGCTCTCCCCATTCATTTCCTATATGATTTTTTTTGCGGCGTTTTCGCTAATAATTCTCAAACCTTCGGACTAATGAGAAAGTTATATAATTTGTCCTTCCTTTAGTAGGAAATGGTTCCCTATTGTTTCTGGAGTTCTGAAGTTCTTAGTGCTCAGCTTCTTCACACTTTGTATATCTTGTCCCTATTCCTCTGACTGTTGTCTTAGGCTACGTTCACACTGCAGCCTGAAGTGACCCAAATCCGATTTTTTTGCCACGATGCGACCTGGATCTGATCGTTTCATGGCAGTCTGAACAACACAGATCCGATTTTTTCCAATGCGACCCAGGCCACTTGGCTATGTGGTCCTGAATCTTATACGAATCTGATCTTTTCAAATGCGACCTGTGTCTGAATGGCCAGGTCGGATTCATCTGACCTGAACGTCATTAAAACCCGACAGTGGTCACTGTTATGCGTCTTGCTACGCAGAAGCGGCAAGAAAAACAACAACTATAGTAGATGATCATGCAGAGAGCAGTATTTATGTTTAACTATATTGAAAAGATTGTGTTTTTATGGTTTGAAAAGACTGCTAGATGTAAACACAGTGTACGCTGGCCTGTGATGTCATTGCGTCCTCTATTGCGCATGTGGCACAATTGCGTTGTATGACTGCAGTTCACACAGGGGATCACATACAAGTCACATATATTTGGAAATGTGAAAGGCAACGTAAAAAAAATGGATTTAGCAAAAAAATCAGAACTGAGCATCAAGGCCTGCTGTGTGAACGTAGCCTTACTATCAGCCACTCATCCCTCAGCTACTAGCCACACTCACCTGCCTTCACATCTTCCACTGTTATCTGCTGCAGTGCTTTGAAATTATCTTTTCAGTTTACCAAAAATGTTGTATTAATTTACCTTTGAGAACACTTAAAATAATTGTAATCCCTGAAACTTAACAAAAAAATATGATATTGCTCAATTATACTGTAGGATATTTTGAAGTGTGATTGCCGTGATTGATTTCTTTTTTTCTTTTTGTTTTTTTTAAGTTACATTATTTCACCCTCCTATGTTTGTTCTAATTGAACAGGTACTACTAAAAACTATCATAAGCAAACATGAACGGATGACTATTTCCGCAGAAAAACTTTAGGCACTTCTTTTTTTTTCTGTAACACGCCTTTTGCTGAAATGGCTTTTGTAAAATGATTGGTCATGTCTAATCCTAAAGCCTATGTTATGTGAAATACTAGTTGCATTTCACTGTTAGTTCTTGGTGCTTCTTTTGATTTAAGGTTTCTTTTGTTTTCTTAGCAGTTTCCCAAGACTGTAAATTATTCAAAGAATAATTATACTGAAGTAAAATTATATTGTGAAAACAACATGCATTTGGTTGTCATTTAGCAAACAACTGTTAAAGCTCTCTGCTAAAAGCCTTTCCTTTGTTTAGTTTCCTTTTATCACTCATCTTACTTTAATAATAGTGTCACATTAGATGATTCATTAATTTAGACACTGTTATGTAGTCTAGCCATCTTAAAATCCAGAACATCCACATACTGGCTTTTGTGATACATCTAACTCTGGAATTCAACATTTTAAAAGTTTCACTGTGATATTCATCAAGTATATAGATTTATTTAAAATTGCATTTTTGAAGGAAAACACACATTGGACTTTAAAGTCATTATTCAGTTTTTCAAAAGGACATATTTAAACTTGGTGGTGACATGATTGCATACAAAAAACAGGCTTGAAATGGCTAATTTTAGAATATTATGGGAAAAAATAGCCATCCAAACCAAATTGAGTCTGTGTAACAACTCGTTGTCTATAAACCTAAAAACTAGTTGTGCCTCAAGCTTAATACTTGGAAATTAGTCTTTGCATCAATTCAGAGGAGTTTTGGATCAGTTTCGTTGCAAATTTGTTTTCATTTAGCCACACTGGATCTTTCTTGGGTATGAATGGCCAGTGAAAGATCCCCCCACAATAATTAAATTGGATCCAAGTTAGTGTTTTGGATGGCTACTTGAAAAGTTTTGATTTCAGATTAAAGCTGTTTATTTTTCAGCTGCTCAGATAAGTGTTTTACAAACTTATAGTTTGTAAAACTATTCATCTTTAGGAATCTCTGGTAATCACCTGCGTTCACAGTGTTACGACATCCAGATCCTGAAGTAAACTATAATATACTGTATAATATACTGACTCCTATTGTACTGTAAGTAACATTTTTAAATATGCTGTTTGTTGTGCCAAGTGTATCTTTTTTTAGTAACGAGTCCATTTCAAAAGCTCCATGCACATAATGCAGCATGAGAATATCATTGGTGTAATATGTATATATTTTGTTAACCCTTGTATTTTCAGCGTGCTCTTAGCTGGCTTTTCATGTTTGTCCAGGATGTTTCTTATTCCCTTTCCAGAAAGTCTAACTAACCATTTTCAGCCTTACTTAACACTAGCTTTTCTCATCTTCTCTTGAACTTCTTTACGTCAAGACATGCTGTGCTTCTTTTTCAAATATTTTTTTTCAGACAGACAGGTTAAATTTAAGTGATTTGTTATTTTTACAGGACTGGCAGGCCAATAATATTAAACCTCAAATGTATCACAGCTAACACATTTTTAACAGCAAATAACTGAGATTAATTTTAACATTTTGATAAAGAAATAGTTGACAATCTTAGTGGCAGGGTTTGATAAGTCACTGTCTCTTTTGAAAACCATCCATCCATTTTCCGTCAGACTTCTCCCTGCTGGGGTGGCGAGGGGTGCTGGTTCCAGCTGTCAATGGGCGAAAGGTGGGGTTCACCCTGAACAGGTCGCCAGTCTATCGCAGGCCAGCACAGAGACAAACAGGACAAACAACCATTAACACACACACTCACACCTAAGGAGAAGTTGGAGAAGCCAATTAACCTAAGAGTCAGGTTTTTGGACTTTGGGAGGAAGCAGGAAAATAATACAGGCATGCAAAGGACCATGCAAACTCCATGCAGGAAGACCACAGGCCAGGAATCAAACCTGGAGCTTCCTTGCTGCAAGGCAGCTGTGCTATCCACTGCAGCCCTCTTTTGAAAACGATTTTTTTTTTGTCGCTATTATTAGTCAGAAAAAAAGAGAAAGAGAGAAAAAGAGAATAAAAGAGAAAAACAAATCCTAAAATTGGTTTTAAAAGGACATCTGCAAATATAATATAGGCTCAATGTAAGAAATTTATTATAATTGATTATAACCCTAGGGGGCAAAAGGAGACATAATGTTTGTGGTCCGTTATGTTTTAACATAAAGACCATGTTGGTTTTAATAGCTTTTACTTTATATTCCACCCTTACCTCAAGTTAAATACTCACCTAAAAACTACAATTTATTGTCGTACTGGTTGATAACATGTAATTGTGAAAAAACAAACACTCAGACATACTTTAATAATCCCAGACAGAAATTACTTTTGTTACACGCTCCAGATATACAAACATTTTTATATATAAATATACAACAAACCACACATTATAATATAAATATTTAATAAATAATATAAATATTTATATTATTTAAGGTAATATACCTTTTTGCAGCATTCTTTGAATGTGAGTATAAAATTCATGTTTTTTTGTGCAAAACAAATATCTATTTTCAACAAAAAAAACACATTCTAAGTAGATCGCTAAAATATCACAATCCATCAAGAAAACACAGAAATTTGCAATGCCATAGAATAATAAATTAATAAGAAAAACTGCCAGGCCCTGTAAAATGCAAACATAAAAGTAACTGGAAACCAAAAGCTAAAACAGGCTATTCCAGCAGATTTGGTCCTTTTTAATATGCCATTCTATGATAAGTAAGGGGAAGTGTGGAACATTTCCTTGCTCATAAATTATAATCTAGTTGACAGCTGCACAGCAACACGGCAATGATGTGAATCTGCTTGGTCTCGGAATATTTTCATAGCAAATGAAACAGTATTACTCAGACATTAGACAGCAGTTTGTGGGCAATGCTTTATTAAAATCCTCCCAAATGTGATAAAAATTCTTGGAAGGAGAGAAGTGACAATATATTCCAAGTTAGAGCAAATGGTTCTTTTATTATTCATCTTGAAAGTGAGATCTTTTATTAAAATTATTTTTGCATCTTGTATTTTTTCATCCGTCATTGTTTCATACATGATTTGATTAAAAGTGTGCTGCCGCTTCTGGAATACTAGTGCCACAATGTTGGTGGCAGATTTGGTAGATTGAACTATCCCCACCCCCAGCCTAAATGGCTCTCCACCTGCACTCCCGGTTCACCGTCAGCCGTCCAGTATGCTGGATTGTCCTTGGTATGGAATAGAAAGTCATGACTTTGCCTCAAATGCTGCTGTTCTCTGCTCTGATGGGGTGTGGCACCTTTATAGTCTGTATATAGCTATGTTTTTTGGTGTGTAAAAAAAAAAAAAAAAGATTCTCTATCACCTAGCACATGCCTAACACACCAGGTATCTGTGGACTTCAACCCCCCACCTCTTATTTTTTTTGTCAGGTGTTCTCCACCTTCAGTAAGCCTTTGTTTCTGAATCCCTCTCTGCCCTCCAAACACTCTTCTCCCCTCGATTTTCCCTCTCTCATGCTGTCACCTGCCTTCACCACCTACACAGCAGGCAGGTGCACATAGCAGCTTCAAGATAACACTGTAGCCCAGACAGTCAGACACCTCATTTATCAGCTCATACTCTTGTTATTCACTGTAGAGTCATAAGGCAGTCCTACCACATACCTCTTGATCTGCCCACATTAGAAATTAGAAAGTGAAATCCATCACTACAACTCAACTAACAACAACTGTAATAGGTTTCAGGCTTATAGAAAATTGTTATGTTTAAATGAAAAGAGACATTTTTGTTCAGCTGCATATTGTGAATATATAGTATTTGAAACTGAAGTCAAGAAACCCCAGCGGTTTATTTATCCCTTCACTTTTTTCCAAAGAATAATGTGTTTCAATGTAATGAAACTCACCTTCTCAGAACTCTTTTGATATTAAAATAAAGCAGATTACATGGTTCAGTAATCAGAGAGACAAGGAGAGGCGATGTGTTCATTGTAAGATGCAAATGTTGTGACTTTAGAAGTCACACTGTCGTACTTTAATCTTAAAGACCACAGTCGGTTTGAAAACAACCATTGTCTTGATTTTTTTTCAGTAATGAAGCTAGATGACAGTATAACAGGTTGCTTATTCCTTTGCACGTGTCAGACAAATCTCCTAGTCATTTTTCTGGAACTAAAAAGCTGTCTGCTGCAGGTTTCTACATTCACGGCTTGATTTCCTATTATGCATGCCACAACAGTCTGATATAAACCAATTTACAGTAATGCTATACTTAAAATGGTAAACCACTGTTTCTCCAATGGGATTAAAACCATAATGGATTTACGTTTTTGATATTTGATCTTACTGCTTAAAAACTTTTCCACTTTTCAACAAAAAACAGCAATCCTCAATCACAAAATTGCATAGTTCTATGTAAAAAAAAAAACAGCTAGTTAATAAGTTCAGAAATTACTCTTGTAAGAGCGCAAGATATATTTTAACATAGAACATTACTCATTTTGCTTTTTCATTCTTTTGAAAATTTAAATGTCACTATTTTACTAATTAGGCCTTTGCAGAATAGTGACCCTTTATTTAGATTCACTATTCAAGACGTTTTCTCTGTCTCTCCTTCTCTATGGATGATGAAGCGAATATTAACTTTGCATTAATATCATGGTCAAATGATTATAATCCGACATCACAGAGCTCAGCTTCTGTTTCTTCTTGTGCAAACATCCATGTGCGAAGTTCACTCAAAGATGGTAAGATAATGAACACAACTCTGTAAATAACCAGGACCGTCTTAATGCATTTTAAACTAATTAATAAAGTAGAAGTGTTCTGTTTGAGCTGGAAGGTGAAGATTGATTTATGCTTGACTAGTCGGACATGTTCAATTACTTAATTTTAGCGTCCACGCCCCTATATGTGGCATCCCCGTGGACAGATTTTAAGCACCACACATCTTCATGATAATCTCATATCATGAAGATATTAGTTTGTTTAATCTGACTTTTTATTTGCATTTTACCTGAGAGGCAAACACTGCATCCTAACAACAAGAAATTATTGGGGGGAATTCAGGTGTTTTGGGATATTTATCTACCCTATCCAATATTTTCTTGATTGCAGTTGAGTAGTTTCAAACAGCTGCACATCCTTTGGAAAATATGTTTTTTTTCCTATCTTCATAGTTGATAAATAACAATTAAAATAAAAAGAAATAAATGAGATATTTACTCTTAAAAACACTGATTTAAGGTAGATTTATGAAAAAACTAAATGTAAGATATTCAAATGTAACGGCTAAGAAGCAATAATTGTTGTGTGGCATGGACTGCACCTTCTACTGTATGTCAGGATGGCATGTTCTGTCTATGTATGTGTGTTTTTTCTTATAAATAGATTTATTAAAGTTATTCTAACAGCCCTGTGACATGCATGTCAAACTAATTGATGAGTGGTCATGGCTATCTGCCTCGTTATTTTCTTCAAAATAGCTGTTATATCTCCATATTTACAAAAGCTATTTTAAAAGAAATTTAACAAATGTACAATTCCCCAATTGTTTGCCATTTTTAGAAAATCAGCAATCCTATTCTACAGCACTCTCCATGGATATTTCCATAAAGAAAATAATGTGCCGAAAACGTTACTTTGACTATCAATCACTGTGGTACTGTTATTAAATGCAGCACTACCCGAGTTAGAATTGAAATATATATTCTAAATATACTTCTAAGTTGCTCGATACGTCTTTTACTTACTTAGCGTTTAGAGTAATGGAGTTGGGTAATAGAAAGTAACAGCTTTATTTTTTAGCAACATTAGTAACAATTGAATGCATCAGGTCACTATAACTCGATCAATTAAAGCTACAGTTCATACAGACAAACTCTTCTACATGAGAGAGCTTGTTTTTTTTGTGGAAATGCTGAGACAGGAATAAAAGACGTTGAACGTCTGAGAAGGTATAGGTTGATGGGTCTTCACCACATAGACCAACGGCAATGTAAAGGAAAAGAGGCCCTTAAATTCAGTGATAATCTTACTAAACTACAAGCATGGACCATTTCTTATACTCTCTGAAATAAAATGTACAGTGTTCCTGTGATCTGCACATGTCATGATCACTGCCCTAATAGCTGACCTAATTGTTCATTTCACTCACCTGCCTAACTCTGCCTGGTTACTAATTATCACTCATTCACCTGCTCAAGCTGCTTTATATATATTTCAGCCCTGATATCAAGGCCAGAGCATTGTTGCTGAGTTTGACTTTAGTTCATGTTCTTGTTCTCAGAGGCCAGTGTTCACAGAGGTTTTTGGTTGTGTTCCTGACTGTAGTCAAGTTTTAAGGTTCCATAGTTTTCCAGATCCTGCTTTGTTCTGCTTCTTAACTATTGAGCTTTCCTGTTCCCATCTGAACGCTCTGCCTGAACTCCTGAAACCATGGATCTGTCTGTTCCTGTCACAGGTGTAAGTTTCTGAAGGACTGGTGGGGACAGTCACCACCAATAATTTCTGCTTTTTTTCCCCTTTCCGCTCATTTACTTTAGCCAAACGTAACAGAGTTGGGTCCAGCTGTCTGTGTTCAGAGAGTTTTCAATCCGTGTTTTTATTCCCCTCTCTCCCGCTGCTCTGGTGTCGCGAATCTCGGTGTAATATCATTGGATCTGTCCCTTTGAGACATCTGATTTGCGGTCGCATCTCACTTTCACCAGAAAGTTTACAAGAAAAAAAAAATGCTACGCTATATTTAAAATGCAGCATATCCATATTTCTCAGAATGGATGGGGTACCTAATAAAGTGGCCGGTGAGTGTACATATATATATATATATATATATATATATATACATATAATTTTTTTTCAAAATCACAATAGAGATAATATTGACATGTTGCCCAATCACTGACACTGTGGTTTAACATTTCACTCAGTTCTCTCATTTTAGGCAGGATGAGCCAATGCACTGCCAACGATGAGCAGCTCGAGCCATCCAGAGTGTCCCTGATGGACGCTAACAGAAGACAAACAGGGAACAAACAGACAGCAAACAATGATCTGGCCCCGATAGCTGGAACTGAGCCCAATATAAGGGAAACCGGCAGGTGGATGAGATGAGTTACAATTAGGAGCTGGACAGAGTTAAGCAGGTGAAAGGCATGAGTAATTAAGGCGAGCTATCAGGGCAGATCATGACAGTTTAACATTTTAAAGCCAAGTGTATCATATTTGGTAAATGAGTTTTTGAGACCTCTGCTTTATCTGTGTGATAGTTTTGCTCTAGAAAACCCAGACTTACACAATCAGACACATGTAGTGAACAGAAAATGTATAAAATATTACACAGAAATGCCTAATGTATCAAAATTGATGCAAATAAATGATCTAATTTAAATTATGCAAAATGTCTGTTTTTTTTCTCTTTCATTTGTCAGAAAGTTCAATGATAAAATGTTAAATCTATTATTTCATGGTCCAGACTTTAAATGCTTAATTTTACAGTGTTTCATGGTCTTATTGTTTTTATTCACTTGTTAAAATGGTGGTAAATTGGTGGATTTTGTTTTAGATATTCAGTGCAGTTCATTGATGTATATTAATAATTTTTTTCTTATTTCAAAATTTAACTTTTACACTGCAAAAAATCTAAATCTAGATAAGTAATTTTTTCTTAAAATAAGTGCATTTGTTCTTGAATTGAGGAGGTAAAAGATACATTTTGCCAATGGAACAAGACAATTTACACTTTAAATAAGAAAACACTATTGCATTGTCTTATTTCAAGTGCATATTATCTAATTATCTGATTTCAAGAGTGAAATTACTCATTCCATTGGCAAACTATCTCATTTACCTACTCAAAGTAAGTGTGAACACACTTTTTTAAAGAAATTTTTACTTATTTCTAGATAGTTTTTGCAGTGTAGTTATACCTAATGTAACAATAATAACAAGTAATTCCATATTTTCTTTTCCAAGTAGTCACTATAGAAGTTAGTAACTCAGCTAATGTTAAAGAAACTTGTAAGTCTAAGTAGTTACCTTTTTAAAGTAATGTTCCCAATCCTGCTTATTTTCAACTTGAATGTTTTTTGTAAAATTATGTCATCTCAAGCAATATTCTTATATGGAAAATATGGCAAAAAAAAAAAAAATAAGTAAATAAATAAACAAACAAAAAAAACATTGCAGGCAGATTCTCACTCGTTTTTGTAACTATGTTAAGCCAGGCCAAAAAACGGGGTCTGATATTGCTAAATTTAAAAAAGCTGATTCATTTACAAAGAAAATACGGAAGGGCTGAGAAATGTTCTGATCAGTGAAATATTTTTCCCACTGCTGTCATTGTTCTATTTTTACTAAAGGTGCTGTACCTGATTCTTTCCAGTTTTGAATGATGAGCAAGTAGAACAGTTTAGTTTGAATTGTTAGTTCAAACTTTTAACAAGTCGCCTTTTATTGTGAGCAGAGAAAGGCACACCTGTGCACTAATCATGATGTCTAATCAGCATCTTGATGGCACAACTTTGAGGTGGATTATCTCAGCACATTGGCAGTG